AAATCTGGGACATTCCATTCAGCACACCGTCCTACCTTGCAGGGTTGTTCAAGGACAGACAAGAGATACAGGCATTCACATCTCAGGAGCCACAATATAATCCATCAACAAATCGACAAGAGACACCCCACAAACAGCTTTTAGGAAGGCGCAAGGTTTACCCTCTCGTGGAGGATGCTGTAGAGAGACCCAAAGTTCACCCGCTCGAACACCAGACGCGTCTTCTCCAAGTCGCTGGACAGACAGACGGCCATCAGAAGCAGCAGGTGAGGGTGGTGGAGCTGGCTGCAAAGCGGGGGGAAGAGAGGACCCCCGTTGGCGGAGAAGAAGGCCCACAACCGAAAGCCCATTTCTCCCTTTCGTGCAAGAATGGTGCGCGTGGCCTAGAGGTGAGGCTCCCGCCTCACAATCAGGAGGCCGTGTCGATCCTAGGTCAGAGGCAGATATTCCTCTCTCTCTCTGGGCACAACGAGAATATATCTGCTACAGGTAACTCCGCACTGGTGACAGGAAGGGCATCCGGCCAGTAAACACTCCGCTCCCATTCGGCTGCCCAGATCCTACCCCGCAAGGGGATTATAGGGTTGTTAAAAAGATGAAGATGATTGCAGAAGGCCACGCACGAAGCTTTGTGGCTTTACACAAACACACACGCGCGTTAGAAATCAGTGAATTCAAAAAACAAAATGGCATATAAGATGCTCGAAAGGTTTCACAAATGGGGGTTGGACTGGATGATCTTGCGGTGTCCCTTCCAATTCTGTTAATCTGTTATCAAATGAAATATGTTTCCTTGTATGCACCTATTTTGCTTTTATACTTTTTGTTGTTAAGCCTTTTGATATTTTTATCTTATGTATATGCCTTTTATATTATGATGATGTTCGGGGTATGTGTGTGTTGTTATAATCTCTTTGGAAAAGTGGTAGTATATGATAGAGCTTAGAAAGAGGCCCTGATGAGGGGATGCTACGTTCTTTAACGCTAGGGAAAGATGCCACGTGGGCAGCCCAGGTAAGAGGTACTGAGGGCTACGGAGGAGAACATAATGAATACTTCAGCTTCAACCATAACAACACAAGAGCACACAATAGATACAAACTCAAGGTTAACCGCACCAAACTTGATTGCAGGAAATACGACTTCAGCAATAGAGTGGTCAATGTCTGGAATACTCTACCCGACTCTGTAGTCTCTTCCCCAAACCCCAAAAACTTTAACCTTAGACTGTCTACTATTGACCTCACCCCTTTCCTAAGAGGTCTGTAGGGGGCGTGCATAAGCGCACCAACGTGCCTACCGTCCCTGTCCTATTGTTTCTTTTATTTTTCTTTCATTTTTCTTATATGTACCCATTTCATGTATTCATAACTATGTATACACTTATACTTATTATCTTGTAAACAATTGACAAATCAAATAAATAAATAAATAAAATAAAATAAAATAAAATAATAAAATAAAATAAAATAAAATAAAATAAAATAAATAAATAATAAATAAAATAAAATAAAATAAAATAAAATAAAATAAAATAAAATAAAATAAAATAAAATAAATAAAATAAATAAATAACGAAAGGTGGAAATTCTCCCTGGAGACATCCTGGGATTAGCTTGCAACACCTGAGGGCAAATCCAATGAGCTTGAATTTGGGAGGGAATGAGACTCAAGAAGGAGAGAACTTGGGTGACCAGATGAAACTGTACATAAAAAGTCTGCTTTGAGGTTCTAAAGGTGTGGCTTTTGATTTTGAACCTGCTCGTTAAAGGTTCTAAAGACCACCGACGCTTTGCAAACCGTCTTGTTAATTTCTTTTTAATAAATCCTCCTTGTTTTCAACGATCCAAGTTTTTTTTTTGTTGTTGTTGGCTTTATTTCCAACACACACACACACACACACACACACACACACACACACACACACAGAGGGGTCGCACCTGCTATACTCCTGCTCGGCCAAGAGGAGGTCAGAGAGGCGCAGTTTGCTGCAGTGCTGGTGAGGCTGCATGTTCAGCTCCTTCACGGTCACGCGGCTGCCTCCCCACATCAGGCTGTGGGGGGAGAAAAAAAAGAGGGCGAGGGTCGGTTTTTTGCCCTACCTGCCACACGCAGGTGCCTTGCGGGAGGGAAAAGGTGAGAGCGGGCGGAAGGTGGAAGGAACCGGGTTGGATTAGGACGGGGGTGTGGGCGTTTAGCATGGCGACCACCCTGGAAGGGAGGTTCATCGGAACCAGGTTGGAGGCATTCAAAGGGAACCTTAAAGGGTCACCTGACAGGTGGGCCGGACTGGGGAGCGGAGGCTGGGTTAGGGCCAGGGCCTGCCTTGGCTTTGCAACACTTACTTGGTCATGTTCATGTAGGGCCCTGTGGAGAAAGAGAAGGTGGGCTCATCGTCCGCCTGAACCACTTCCTTGTCCGGGATGATGGGAAGGGAGGCCAGGTAGCCCAGCTGCCTCTTGCTGGTGAGAAAAAACTGGAGCGAGGGAGAGGAGGAAGGGTGAGAAAGAGAGGGTGAGGAAGGGAGGGGAGAGGAGAGGTGGAATGGGATGGAAGGGAGGGGGAGGAAGGCCAAAAAAAGGGGGAGAAAGAAAGGAAGGGGAGAAGAGGGGGGGAGGATAAAAGAGGGAGGAGGAGGGAAGGAAGGGTGAGCAAAGAGAGCAAGAAAGGGAAGCAGGACAGGAAGAGGGGAAGGGAGCAAAGGAAAAAGGGAGGGGAGGAAAAGGAAAGGGAAGGGAGGGAAACGGAGAGGAAAAGGAAAAGAAGGGAAAGAAGAGGGGAGGGAAATGGAGGAGAAAGGAAAGCAAAAAGAAGGGGGAGAGAGGGGAAGGAAGGAGAAAAGGGGGAAAAAGAAAGAAAAGGATAAAAGAGGGAGGGAAGGAAGGAAAGGAAGAATGAATGAATGAAGCGAACAAAAAGGAAGGAGAACGGAGAAAGGTAGGAAGGAGGGTTGAGGGATGAAAGGAAGGAAAGGAAGGAAAAACAGAGGGAAGGAAGGAGAGAGAAAAGGGAGGGATGAGAGAGGGATAGAACATGGAAGATGAGAGAGAAAGCAAGAGAGAGAAAGAGCGAGAAAGAAATAGAAAGAAAGAAAGAAGAAGGAAAGAAAGAAAATGAGAGAAGGAAACCAAGTTAAGGGAGGGAGAGAAGGAAGGAAGGAAAGAAATGAGGGAAGGAGGGAAGAATTGAGAAGAACTGGCCGATAGCCTCTCTTTGAAGACCTCCAAAAACCCAAAAGTGCTGCTTCACATCATGTGGCAGTCTGTTCCACCGCTCTCAATTTCAGAAGATTCTCTTTGAGGGCCACTAAAACCCACTTCCTTGGGTTTTCACACCGTCTTGGGCCCTTCATGGGACCCCTGACCCTGTGTATTCGTGTGTTGGACTCCGCCACCTTGAACCTCTCCTCTTACCTTCCCAAAGCCGAAACTGAAGATGCTTTGCGACATGCTGCTCGCACGTTTCATGAACCTCCCAAGAGGGCTGTCGGCTCCCCTGAAGCACAAGGGGGAGAACTGTGAGAGGGGATTTTGGGAAATGAGATGGAGCAGCAACAAACAAGACCGTTTTGTGTTTCCCCAGCAAAATTATTATTTTTAAAAACCGACAAACATATCTATTTCCTACTTATTACTAACCCTATATCTTACGCTAGATCTATGCTAACATCTATGTCTAGAGCCATTCTAAGATGGACTTCCACTCCCAAAATTCCCCATCCATCATGCTTTAAGATGGGGGGACTTCAACTCCCCAAATCCTCCAGCCAGCATTCTTTAAGAGGGGAGGACTTCCACTCCCAGAATCCCCCAGCCAGCATGCTTTAAGATGGTTAGAATTCAACTCCCCAAATCCCCCAGCCGGCATCCTTTAAGATGGGTGGACTTCCACTCCCAG